AACTATATTTTTTATATAATAATGATATTAATAAAATTAATATTTAATATTTTATTAAGAAATTAATACTTTTTTTTAACTTTGCAGGCAAATTTGCTTGCTCTACAGTCTAAGAGATAGTTAAGGTTGCTAGACGAAATCAAGAGTTTAGACAAACGTCTAAATGGTAAAAGTAAAACTTAGTTAAATTATGTTAAACCCTTATTAAAAAATCTGCGAAATTTGGAAAAAGGTAAAACTATATCAAAGCTTATAAAAATGGCAAAATATATCAAATACTTAGTAAAAATTTAGCGAAACTAAAGGTTTAACCATTTGTCAAATCCAAAATGAGTTTAGACAAGCAACCTTAATTATAGTTTAAAATTAAATTTAATGCATTAAGATAATCCTGTAAAAAATAAAATTGTTATTTTTGTATTTCTACTAAGATTATAATTTTCATTTTGCATACTTCTTTTTGTTTCATAATAACATTATTATATGAATGTATTATAAGCTGATCAACTTTGTTAAATTCAACTAAATTAGAGCTATTCTATTGATATTTTTATTGCAAATATAATAAGTAAATAAGTAAAAGTATTTTTGATACATTTTTAATACTGATTTCATAAATAATTGAAGCTTTAATATTATTTGAATTGTAAATAGATATTCTATTAAATATAATTGATACCAGAAGAAAATCATTTATTTTTTTACATATACTTATTGCAAAGTGATTAGCTTCTGATAGAAAGTATATTAGATCATTATTTTTCATATATATTATGACAATCATTTATGTTATATATACAAAAATTATTTTTATTATCATTAAAATATTTTTTTATTCTTATTGAATGTTCATTAGCAACTTTTTTTATAATTATATACAATTTGGTAAGTAATAGAAATTCTAACATGACTTAATATATTAATTGCATTTCATGTTATTTCTGATTCTACAAAGTATAAGGCAAGTTTTAATTTTAAACTATTTGCATATATGTTTCACAATCCTTCCATAAAATATAAGATTATAACAATTTATTTTTTATCTTCATTTTTGTTATAACTTGAATGATCATTTGATATTAATATATTACATATTTCAGTAAAAAATTCTTTTAAATCCAAATCTGCATTTTCAATTATGTTAACAAATTTATTTGGATTAAATATAAGATTATCCTGTTTTTTTTTATACAAAGCAGTTATCATTTTTTGATTTTATTTTTAAATGAAAATTTAATCAATAGATTTAAAATAGGTATAATTCTATTTTCATTATGAGTTTGTTTATTTTTAACAATTATCATATAATATGAATAACAAATTTGTTGACCTATTTGTAAGTAAGAATACTTTTAAATAATTCCATTTATCAATGCTTTTTTCATAGCTAATTTAGTTAAATATTAAAAGGCATTTAAAATTTTATTATAATGATAAATAAAGCAATGTCTATTATTAATCTTTTGTCATAGTATTTTATTATAAGAATTTTAATATATTTTTTACATTTTATGTGTTTATTTTAAACTTTTATTTTACATATTATATTTACATTATACAAATCTTTGTAATACAAAAAATCATTAAATACACAAATTATATAAATATATAAATCATATTAACCTATTTATTCTTATATTTATTCAAGATTATTATGCTAATTTCTAATATATTTTACTAATTGGAAATTAAAATTTAAACTAGCTAATCAAACAAATACATAATAATCAGCTAATCAAAATGTATTTTAACTATGCTAGATGCGAATTATGATAGTTGTGATGCAAACAAAATTTGTAAAGTAACTTATTTTACTACATTTGTTTTTTTTGTAATCGAACCATTTTTCCAAAAATATCAAAATGTCAATTTATTCCAGTATAAAGATGGGAACTGTAATTAATATATTGCAACTTTTAATATTACAACTTATATTGCAATTAGTTTTAACCTATATATGTTGCAACTAATTTTAGCTTATGTTGCAACATTTTGTAAATTTGAAATCAATTGCTGTACCATCTTTATTCTAGTACAAATACCAGTTTTAGTAGTATTGGTTCAACAAAAATAAGAGGAACAAGTATAAGCAATATCACCACTGCATAAGTACAATGGGATATTAAAAGTCACTGGATACTTAAAAATTAAGAAATTGATAGAAATATTTACTTCAAATTAAACTTTTATTTTATTAATTTAATCGATTTTAGTAAAATAATTAAAGTTGTACATTATAACAAATTACATATATTGTAAAATTTATATATATATATAATTGGTAATAAAATTTATATTGCATATTTTATGCAGTATTTTAGTGTTTTTAATACAAAATTTCAGCAATTATAAAGTATTGAATTTTTAATTAAATTTTATTTTAATTTATTAAGTAAACTTGTTAATAGTATTAAAAAATATATTTTTTTAAAAAAATTTTATATTAATTACCTTTATATTTGTTGAGATCATCTTAATTTAATGAGTAAATATCTATGTACAAAATCAATCATTTTTTTAATTTCAAATCTAAAATTTCAAATCAAGTTTTTTCTATAATTTACTTATTGATTTGAATAAAAATTTTTATATTTGTTATATAACATTCTGTATTTTATTTATTAATGAACATTTTTTCCAAAAAATGTGTCCAAAAAATGGGTTTATTAAAAAAATGACTACTCAATGTAAAGAACTCTCTGAATTTCAAAGTGGTGAAATTATAGGTGTTTGGAAGTATGGTTTTAGTTAAAGAAAAATAAGTAAAGTATTAATTATGCTAAAAGTACAGTTTATGATGTTATTTTTATATATAAAAATGATGGATTTGAAACATTTTCTTCTCAAATTGGTAGATCACCTATTTTAACTGATAAAGATGATCACCATTTAATGCAAATTCTTAATAAAGATCATAGAACAAATATTGCTGAATTATGTGAAAATTTTGTTACTCTACTTCAACAAATATAAGTCAAATTTCTCTTAAAAGACATCTTCATAAAAAAGGAGTTTATGGAAGGATTGGAGCAAAAAAAACCTTTGTAAATGTGGCTAATAAAATGAAAAGATTAACTTGGGCTAAAAAAAAAGAAAAGATTGGAATAATAAATAGGAATATATTATCTGGAGTAATGAATCTAGGTTTAAGGTATTTAAAGGAGATGGAAAGAGATATGTTTGGAGGAATGCTCAAGAAAAATATGATCCAAAATGTCTTATTCCTACATTTAAATCAGGTCAACAGAGTGTAATGGTTTGGGGTTGTTTTACAAAAAATAAACTAAGTCCATTGGTCAAATTAGAAGGCAGAAGTACAACGATTATATATAAAAATATATTAAAAAACTATTTAATACCATTTATAATTGGTTTAGAAAATAAAAATAAATATATTTTTCAAAAAGATAATGCTCCTCCTATTCATGCTGCAAAAGTAGTAAAAAAATGGCAAGTGGAAAATAATATTATAAGTTTACCATGGCCTGCACAGAGCCCAGATTTACATCCCATAGAAGATTTTTGGGTTGAATAGGATAGAAAGGTCAGAAAACATAAACCATTACCAAAAAATCAAGATGATTTATGGCAGATTTTGCAGGAAGAATGGTTAAATCTTGATGAAAAGTATATATAAAAACCTTATTGATAGTATGCCACGCCGTATTTCTGCTGTTATTGAAATAAAGGCAATCCTATAAAATACTAATAATAAAATTATAAACAATATATTTATATGATTAATCTAAAAAAAAAATTTGTAAAAATCGATGCGATAGTTCGTAAGTTATCGCAATTTAAAAATTTGATATAATTTATAAAAAATGATCGACATCGCATGTGCCCGGTACCCCACTCATGTATATACCAAAACGTATGCCAGACTGCAATTATTTTAGGAATCTGTGGTGGAATAAAGGGGAATTTAACCCAAAAGCAAAGTGGGAAGCAGTAACGTAAGTCAAATTTCGACGCTGGATGGATATTTTATAAATTATTTACTAATTTTTGCCATTTATATCAAGTCTCCCGTATAAACTTGCTGTTGGAGTTACATTTGATGAGTTTGTACGCCGCTCGGAAGAATCCAATGCTCACGGCTGTTGGGAGTGGACTAATGGTGATGTTATGGTCTACGAGTGGCCATCAGAGCCACATGAAATTTGTATCAGAACGATATATGATGAACTATTGAAAGCTTGTATTTCCGTAATAAGGACAAATGCAAGGATCTATAGTCTTGGATCAAGTAGTAAGCAATAATTTATTAACTTTTTGGTCATATATGGCATCATAGTAATCTTGATTACTTGAAGCAACTCGTGCCAATGGTGAAGGAAAAGAAGCTGACGATTCATATAGACCAAAAAAAATACTCGCAATTCCTCCAAATGGGAGTGATCGATACGTATGTTTCATTTTTCCATTGGTTTTGATTTTTCAATCCATAGCTGGATGTTTCATATAATACATTTTTATTTTCAGAACTGCCCTTGGCCAAATGTTATTGTCGAGATTGCGTATTCAGAGTCAATAGATCATGTTACAAAAAAAGTGAATGAATACTGGCTTCGCCCTAATCGTGCTCACGATTAGTTGTTAAAATCGATCCTGTCCCTCAAGGTGAAAGGCCTTCTCGTATGAGAGTAAGTTATTCTTGTATAGTATAGCAATCTAGTTATTTATACATTCTAAAGATTTTAACCTATTTCAGGCATGGCATTATTGCGTTCTCGATAGAGTAACAAGAAATATTTTTCCAGCTAGGACTACGGTAATGATAAATTGCAGTGATTTTCTTTATATTAATATATCTAAATGTATGTATATTTTTCGATTAATAGTTTGAATTCGGCATGCAAAACGGTAATGGAGCACCATTAAATATCCAACCTGGTTCGTGTGTTATCAACATTAAACTAGACTGTCTGTACCATGATTTAGATCCTAGTATACAAATCCCTCGAAATACTCTTTCAGATCCAATTACTTTGGATTTCTTTTATGTTCAACAAGCAATTGTAGAAGTTTTTATGGGTAGGGATTAATGCAAGCGTATTATGTTACTAGTAGCCTAATGTCATATAATTTTGTAATTTTTTAGTATATTAGTTTAGTTGGCTCTTTATAAATAATAAAATTTTTTCGCTCATTGCATAATTTTGTGTATGCGTTTTGTTTATTAGTATCATCAAAAAAATGCGCAGTACGATATCGGAGTAAGATCGTCCGTAAATTATATTTAATATTGTACAAAGATAAAATGCACATTAATAAAAAATGATACAATAATTGAAAGATTTGTGCATATAGTTGACGGTGAATAATTTATTCTACTTCTTGAACTTGGCTGTTAGCGTAGAAACATTAAGCGATAATTCAGCACACATTTAGGAGCGGTCGGCACATGAACAAATTGTTGGTCAAGCATTATGACCTCGCTTTGATATGCCATAAATTATTACATGAGCAAAATAAAAGTATATTTTGAAGGTAAATCAACGCGAAACCTGCTAAATGTGTTGAGGCTTCACTCATATTATTTTTATTTATTCATATTTGTCATACAGACAGAGAACCAAATTATATTATTATTTTTATTTTTCAATATTGACAGCATCGGCATATAATGGTTATGCAAATTATTATTATTATTATATATGCATATATTTTTAAATGAATTTGCGTGAGTTATCATCATATTTAAATCAATTAAGAACTGTATTTGTTTCATTTGTTTCCAATTAATCTTTCGCTATAATATTTTGCCATAATATTGATGTTGCATTTGCTCTGAATAAATCCTTCCGCTATAATACTTTGCATTTTTGTTGAATGTAATTTAAAAAAAAAACCCCCAAATCAATTTTTTTTTCTTTTTTTTTTTTTTTAGTTCATGTGTTAGGTAGGACCTAATAGAAAACCTGCATGGTGCGCTCAATCAGTGTGTATAGAAGCTAAAAAGACAATCATCACTAATGGATGTCGATGAATATATTCTTCAAAGGTATCAGAAGTCCATCATCTTCCAGCCATCTGCACAATGAGAAGGAAGATCTCGCGAAATGAGTTCTGTGGTACCACCAGCTCTAAATCCATGACCGGTTAAATGCTTTGTTTGAAATAAATCATTATGAACCAATTTTTGGTAACAAGTGTTTCATTCTGTTGACAAAATAAAATATTTTGAATCTTGTGATAAAATTTAATGATAAATGAGCTTTAATATATCATAACATAATCTTTATAGGACACAATTTATCAGATGCTGTATTTCTGCTATAGGTAGGTAAAAAGTACACAAGGAGGATTATGTATAGTAATATTATCAATAAAAAGTGTGTTTGTAGATAAAAATAAGCTAGAATGAATTAATTCGCCTAATTGAGCTAAACTAAATACTGAGAAAGCTATTACAAGAAATAAAAGATTTTTAAAAGGTATAATTGTATAAGCATGTTGCAAGTGTTATTGTAGCTATAAGTTCTGCCTTTTTAATGAGTCAATGAATATAAATTAATTTGAGAGCTCTAATAATTAAAAAATAATATCTAATATATGTCTAATCTATTTCATTATTCTTATCAGTTAAAGTTGATAAGTATAAAAGTAATATTTGCAGATTTATATAAGAGAAATATAAACTAGAAGATGTTTAATGCTAATAGGTCAAATTGAACCATCTGAATTTTTCTAATTATTGTTATAAGTTAAGATACTATATCATTTTGCTATATTAAAATATGTTTTGCTGGTCTTATTAGAAATTACTAAAGTAATATATAAACTATCATTTACTGAAATATTGAATTGTATTAAATTAAAAAGCAAATAGATAAAAATAATATAATTAGTGTACACTAGTGATATCTGACTAAACTTTTTTTTAAAAAATTGTAATTTCGTCAAAAGTTTCGTCTCTTTAATATTTTTATATCAATAAATATAAAATTATTATATTTTTAATGTATTTTAATCCAAGGAATTTAAATTAAGTTAAATATAATTTTGGCAATTAAATAATGCTAAAATATATCCTCAAGATATTAATAATAAGAATATCTATTCAGATTTATATAATATTATAACTAGCAAAATTAAAATTCTAACTAAATCTGAATTTGGTGAATTTCATGAAGTTGATACATTTACAAAAAGTGAAATTTAATCAATTATTAATTATTCTATAATGAATGAAATCTAATACATCAAAAGAATTATTATATTATATTTTCTAGTATAATACTTATAATGCTTTTAAATTAGCTTTACAAAATAACAAATATTATGATTAAAAAGACAATAATTATCAAAAGTAAAGATAGTGGTATTAATATAATTTTTTATTAGTCAAAATATAATCAAATTAGACTATCAAATTCTAATCCTAAATCTAAGATTATTTCTATTCATCAAATGAGAATATTATGAACTTTATTTTATTAAAAGACCATATAATTTAGCTGAAGGTATTTAAATTAAATTATTTATTAATTATTTATTTTTAAAAATTTTTTAAAATTAAATTTACAAATATTAGTATAAATTTGCTTATATTAGAAGAAATATCTTAAATAAATTTATAAATGAAATTGTTTGACAATAGGAATTAATTATAATAATAGAAAAATTTCAAATTATAGTAATCAAAAAACCTTAGTAATATATTTTAAAAGCAAAGATATAAGTTATAATGATGTGATAAGTATAGTAGACATTTGTATGATTAATTAATTTTTTATATTAATTATTTTCTAATTATTAATAAAATAATTAATTTTTATTGACTCAGATTTTTATTATTAAATTAAATTAAATATAATTTTTAAATAAATTATATTTTTCAGTTATTATATTAAATATATCAATAGTAGTTATAATTATATATATTTATTATTTGAAATTAATAAAATATAATTAATTTTTCATAAAGTTTTAAGTACTATTTTAAATTAATTTGCAAATTTAGAATTCAAAAATATTTGTTTTGATAATTTCTTAAGTTTATTATTATCTAATTGTATTTTATCTTCTTGATCAATTTTAATTTTAAAATTTTCTTCTGTGATTCTACAAATAATAGATTTTATATTATTATTAATTTCATTTTTAATATATTTTAAACAATATAAATACTTATACTCAAGATATTATAAACAATATTGATGATAAATATGATCACATAAAAGAAAAATTGATATATAAAAAATAGTTTTTGATTACAATATTTAACAAGAATTTTAAAGACAATATCTTACTATTTGATCAAATAGAGAATATTCTAAACTGAAGTTATTAATAAATATTATTCATCTATATCTATATATAAGAGTTGCAAAATGATAAGAAATTTTGTGTTTATCATGTTGATTAATTTTTGTCTATTTGTTATTTTCAATATTATTTTTAATCTTTCTAAAAGAAAAATAGATACTTTGTTAGTTAAACCTATTAAATCTTTTTTATAATCAAAATATTTTTTTACTACAATAAATGTATTTTAAAATACATTATCATGATAAAAATAATTAATATAGGTTATTCTTGAAAATTACTTATATTGTCATGATACTCTGCTAAGTTATAAGTAAATTCCTTATTATCAGATTTTACAATCTTAGAGAATTTCATATCCTTGGAATGCTTTGGAATTACTTTGCTTAACTTTACAAACTTAAAGATTTAGGAATTTAGAAGAAACTTAAAGAATTTATTTAACCAAAAATAACATATATAATATATTAATCAGATGTATAAAATCTAATAAAATAATATATATAATATACTAATTAGACATATAAAATTTAACTAAAATAACGTATATAATATACTGATTAGACATATAAATTCTGTATTTTTCTACATACAAAAAGTATTTTCATATACATTTCTTATACAGATTATTTATAGAGCTATAAAAGCTTATTTGTCAGATTTTTCAAGGCTTATTAAAGTCTAATATTCCTCCTATTCTGCTATTTTTTGAAATTTTCTTATTCTTTAAGCTTTTTATCATTTATTTAATCTATTTATCAAAAAGTAGTCTATTATATAGCACTTTAAGTGTAATAGCATCTAAATAAATTATACTTTTTTAAGCTGATTTTTGACTTTTTGATAACAATTATTAATTAAAACTTATTTTAATAATTTTTTGTTCTTTTTCAATAAATAACATTTTTCATAGATATAATTAATATTATCTTCTTTAAATTGATAATTTGTTATGTAATAGATTTCCTATCTTTTCCATATATTTTTTATATTACTTTAGTGTAAGATTATCATATTTCAATTTTTTAGTTCATGTAACTTTGAAATTTAAAATTGACTTAAAGATCCAGATTTTATTAGTAATTATTATTTATTAATAAAAAGTTTATATATAAATATTATACTATTTTATTGGTCAAAATCTAAAAAAAAATTGTATTGTTAATAAAAGATATAAACAATAAATAAATTATATTGTTTAAATAAGTTTAGCTATTCATATTTTATAAAAGTTTATCTTATATTATCACATTTTTGTATATGTCTATTATTATATTTAAATAATTGAGTTTTTTTTATTTCAAAATCATTTTAATTCTGTCAAAATGCCTATCATACATATAAAAATAAGTTATAATTCTAATATTTTGAAAGATCGAAAAGATTTACTTATCTATTGAGAAAGAAACAAAAAAAAAAGATTTTTTTGGAGATATATTAATTCTATATTTATCATTTGATTGATAGAAAGCAGATTTTGAAGTGAAATTTAGCTTATCAAAACATTAGTTGATGAAAAAGTTTCAGCAAAATGTATTACTTGTGAAGCTATAAATTAATATGAATTTATGTATACCTTTATCTTATATTACGAATAATAATAAAATCTCATAAAATTTCTATTAATATTAATATTTTTGGTATTTTAAAGACTAGTTCAAATAATATATTTATTTTATAATTTAATGATTCGTTAAGAAATACATTAGAAAAGTTATAAATATATTTGTCTAATTAAATTAAAAGAATGGTAAAAAAAGAATACTGCACAAAATATTAAAAATAATTTGTAACTGATTTGATAAGTACATTATAATATATTGATAGTCATTTTATAGAAACTTTAAATCAAAGTTTAAGATTTCTGTAATTTTTTCTGAATTTTTTGAAAGATCATTTTCAAAGAGTTATAAAAACTTAAAACTAAAGTTTAATTTTGAAAATTTAACTTAGTATAGTAAAAAAAATACTTAATTATATTAAATTAAATTGGATGTTATAAAATAAGTTTAATTAGCTAAAAGATAATTTGATGAAATTCTAATTAAATATTCAGAATATTTGGAATATAGGTTAGTATATATAAAAATCATATTGTAGAACTATATAAATCATATGATCAAAACCTGATTTTCATATGTAACAACCCATATTGTAAATGGATCTATAAAAGTGATTTACATATAATTGATTAATAGAATTGATCTATATGTGTGATGATGATATTATTAACATTATTAATATAGTTAATATAGTTAATATAATTTATATAGTTTACATATTTAACATATGTAATATATTTTATTTAGTTAATATAGTTAATTTATAATTATATGTATTTTAAAAGATATAAATATAATAACTTAAAACTTGTAAAAAAAGTGTAGAATTCAACAAGCTGTATGGAAATAATAATTCTTTAAACCTTTTGATTAACTGTGTGAACAAATCTTTGTGAATTAATCTTTTCCTATTTTATTTTTAACTTTTATTTTTTTATTTTATATTTCTTATATTTCTTTTCTTTTCTATAATTTTATCAATAAACTCTTTTTATTTTCATCATTTATATCTTTGTGAGTTTGTGTGATATATCAAACTTCATAAATTATAATCTTATTAAACTGTATGAATCTTAATGATAAATTATAAGCTCTTGTTCTATAGTTAATGAAATAGAAGTAGAATCTATTAAAATTTTTTAGCAAAATATGATATAATCTAACAAATATCATTTATTAATAAATAAATTGAAAGAAATAGAATTTTAGAAGCCTGTTAATGTAAATGAATATTGTTTTAAAAGTAAAAAGACATAGGATGATTGAAGGATTAAATGCAGCCTTTTATTAAAAGTTAGACTATATAAATATCATTATAAATTAATTCAAAATGTAGTATATATATTGTGCGTCATCTATCATTTTACATCAGATAACAGATGACGCACCTTATTTATCAATTGGCATCTGACGTGCGTAACCTATCAATCAAAATATGAGATACATTAGTTGTCACCTGACTTATATTAGTTATCATCTGACGCAAATTTTTTTTAAACCTTTTTTTTTGCGCAATTTTTAATTTAATGTATAATAATAAACAGCATATGAGAGCATTTCCAGTAAAATCACATTATGGATCATATGATTTACTATGCCTCATAACTTGATTTTACTGGAAACGTTCTCATATACCAAATATACTTTATTAACTTTGTGATACATTTATATTGTAATACAAATATAAAAAATTATTTATTTTGACACAAACGCCTACTATGATATCTACTTCCACAATTTTTTTCTGATTTTTGCAACAACATTTCTTGTTATTACAGTTGCTTTTACAATTACAAATAATTCCTGTAACTGTGTCAGTGCTTTGGAAATATGCAGCTTCTTTAACAGAAACTTTATTGGAAGGTATATTATTGAGTTCAGCAAAATCTTTTGTACCAAGAGGTTCAATTTCTCTGGATAAATAATATATATTAATAATACCATATTTTGATCCTAAAATATATTGGTTATTCTCCGTTACTTCCATAATTTTACAAGGGAGTATAAGACGATCAACACCAGCATAGTCTATCTTTAGAATTACAATTCTTACTAAATCTTCTATTGCATATTCATTTGGCCATTTTCTTTCCTTATTCATTTGATTTGTCATTTTATTAGTATAAATTTGAAGATCTTAGTGAGCAGCTTCTCTTAATATTTCATGTCCTGTAATTGTAACTCTTAAAATAGTATTTGTAATATCAACAAAAGCTGAATATTGAGTATTTGAAGGTGATCTATTATTTTCATATTGAAATTGTGTTAATTTTACTATTTCAACACTTTGAATACTAATATTATCATAATTTATATCCTTTTCATCATCCTCATCATCCTCTTTATAATCCTCTTCATCCTCTTTATCATTCTTTTTATCATCCTCTTCATTTTCTTTATCATTCTCTTCATCTTCTTTATCATCCCCTTCATCTTTTTTTTCATTCATTCTCTTCATCTTCTTTATCATTCTTTTCATTAACCTTATTATTATTATTAATTTTATTAATATTATCATTGCTATCTTTATTAGTACTATCAACATCATCATTTTCTGGTGAAGGTAACGAAGTATCTATTTATTTAATATTTAATTATATAATAGTTAAAAAAAAATTGATTATGTAATTAAAAGTTCATAATAAATTAATATTTAATTTAATTAAATTAATATGTTAGATTTAATATTAGCTATTTTTAATTTTTTAATATATAAAAAAAATTTTAAATTTATTAATTAATGTTAATAAGAAATTGTTTAATATAAAATTTATTATTTAACGTTTAGAATTGAAAAATAATATTAAAATAAGATAATAAGATGAATATTTAAATTAAATATTATAAAATATATAATAAAATTAATAAAATCTTTAATACCTTACTCATTAATCATATCATCATTTAAATTTTCATTTAGATTTTCAAAATCATTTATCTTAATTGTTTTCAGGATTTTTTCTTCATCATAAATATTCTTGTTAAATAGTTCTTTAATTAAAGTGCAATTATCTCGTGATTTATTACCATACACAAGTACATATAGAGTTTTTTTATAAGAATGACAATAAGAATGATTCATAGATAAAATAACTAGATGAAGCTCAAAAGACCAATCATTTCTACTAGAGGTTTCTTTCCATTTACCTACTTTTTGTTATACTATTCTATTTGCCTTTTCAATAAGACCTTGACTTTGAGAATAGCGTGATCTTCTATTAATAATTTTAACTGATGATCATAAATTAACTAACTCTTTTATTACTGATGCACAAAATTCTTTACCATTATCTGATTGGAGTATTGTAGGAGAAGAGCCAATTGAATAGAAAAGTTCAAATAAATATGCTGCTACTTTAACAGCTCTTTTGGATGTAATAGCTTTTGTTCAGAAAAATCTTAAAAAATAGTCAAGTATATGACAAATATATTTAAATTCTCTATCAGAAGCATAGAACATATCAATTAAATCCATTTATAAATAAAAATTACATTAATATAATTTTTTTAAAAAAAATTAGAGCAAATTTATTTAAATACGTGAAAATAATTTTTTTGAAATAATTGGCTTTGCAGCCAAAGAATGAAAGGAAGGTTTTTTGTAACACAAATGGTATAATTATTCACAAACTTTTTAATTATATCTTGCTTTAACCAACCCTAATTTTCTTTCATAAATAATCAAAGCTGCTTTTGTCCTGCATGTTGGTTTATTTCAGCATAGATTCTACATAGCATTTCATACATTCTTTCAACTACAAGAATCGGTTTGCTATTTGCTTTGACTATTACTCTATATTCTCTAGGAATAGTTTCTTCAAGATAAAATCTTTTTTTAGCCCATTCTCGAGTGTTATTATCGCAAATATGAACATCTTTAAGGTTTAATAATATTGCCTTTATTATATCTAAAAGCTTTAAATTCACTAAAGCTTTATGCCTTTTGCAACTCAGCAAATTATTAAGGTAAGTATTTACTAAATTATTGAAAGTTTCTATACTGATAAAAGTATATTCCATTATTTTAAAAAAAAATTGGAACGCAGATAATTATTGACACATTAGTATGTGCAATTCAAAATTTGGATATAATATTTTAACGTGATAATTTTAATGCGTCAGGTGATAACTAATATGCCTCATATTTCGATTGACAGGTTATGCACATCAAATGCTAATTGATAAATAAAATGCGTCATCTGTTATTTGACGTAAAATGATAGATGACACACAACATATATATGATAAATTGATTCAAAAGCTAATAAAACTAAAATAGTTAATAAAATTATAAAATCTGAATAAAATTAAAAGCTTAATTAAAGGTATTTCATACTTGAACAATAAAAAAAAATTAATTAATAATTTTAAATTAGTATAAAAAATAAGATTTTGTTATATTATTTCTGATTTACTTGATGATTTTTTTGTATTAGAAAAATTGGTTGTTATTTTTGTGTTAATTATAATGATATTATTTGATTTTATTCAAAATTTTTATCATGAAAATTTTAATTGTGATTTAAAATATAAATCTGCTAATTTGTTATAGTTATTACATAGTTATTAATACCTATGATAAATGATTATATAATCATTAATCATGTGTTATAAAGTTAATAATTAACTAAACTATTTGTTAACAATTATTTTTTCTTTCTCACAAAATTAAAAATAAAATTAAATAGTAACACACAATTTAATACTACTTGCAAATTTTTAAATAATCCATATTTATAATTTAAAATATCTAAAAATAGTGAAATTGAAAAGCAATTTCATTTTATCAAAAAAATCATGTGTTCAAAATACAGAAAGCAACAAAAAATTGGTTAGCATATTTTGAAAAATTTTGAAAAGATATAGTTGATACTTCTTCATAAGAGGAGCAATATAAAATATAATTGCATCTTATTTCAGACATGTCTATACTAGAAAATCAAGAAATAAGTTATATTGCTACTATAAAAAAAGGATTGAACTGAATATAAAGCATTAATAATAAAACAAGCTATTGATAAAATTAATTAATATTTAATGGAATTTTCAATGATTCATAAAATAAATTTATAGGATTGTCATTAGTTTCCTGTTTTAGCAAGAGTTCTTAATGGTAAAATGAAAATGCTTTAAGATAATGGGCTTAGTAAAGTAAAAGTATCTGTAGCTTTAACTTGACAAAATATTGCAAATATTTTGTAACTTTAATATCAACTTCAGATACTCTTATTAAAAGAGTATTTTTTTTCATAATATATTTTTATTAGCTTGTCAGCATTATCAATTAAAAATTATTCAATTTACTTTTCGCGAAAATGGTGGAATTAATTTTTAAAGATTTTGTGCAAAAAATAATCAACAATGAATAATAGGTAATATAGCACAAAAGGTTCCTATTCCAGTTGATTTACCTAATACTAGAGAAACTTGCTATGATTATCGATTATATTTTAAAAAAAGCTATTAGATATAGAATCAGATTTTTATTTACAGACCAATCCAAAATGTAAGTTTATTTTATAAATTTATATTTATTTTTTAAGTATTTACAAATTTTAATTTATAGGGAAGGAAACTTAAATCTGGTATTGCAAACAACATATTGGTCAAAATAATTTATCTGGATTTATAAAAGATCTTGCTAATAAAACTGGTATTGAAGTTGATGGTTTATTGATTAACTATTCTGGACGAAAGACATCTGTATAACTAATGCAAGATATAAATGTAGAAGAATAAGTTATTATGAATATTACAGGTCATCAAAGTGTTGATGTAATATGAAAATATAAAGTATTAAATGATCAACAAAAAATGGATACATTGTAGCATATTATTTCTACTTTTAATTTACAAAATCATCAAGAATCTCAAATAAAAAATATTACTGATAATGTGTCTATTCAACAAATTTAAGATTATAATATGCAACCATTACAAATTTCATAAATTACAAATCTTGAATCATAGAATTTAGCAGGAAATATTCTTTCTGATAATAATAATAAAGAAAAAACACTAATATTAAAGAATGCCATTTTCAAAATGTTAACTTTAATTTTAATTAGAATATATTTATATAGTCATAATTAATAAATTTAAAAATAAAGTCTTTAATTGCATTTTAAACTATGTAATTTTAAAAAACTTTATTAATAAATAATTTCACAATATGATTTTCATGTGATATATTCTGATAATGACAAAATATTGATATTTTTCCAGAAAATTGAACTCTGATAATAAATCCAATATAATATTGATGTGTAATATCATAGGCGAATGATTAGTAAACAGGGAATATACATTATTATAAAATAGTTAATTATTATTAATAAGAAATTTATTTATTAAAAAAATTGTAATACAAAATCAATTTATATATTTGTAATACAAATTCATTTAAAAATCATCATTATAAAATTGCAACAGCTACTAGTAATATAATATCATTAAAAAAATAAAAAATTATAACATATAATTTATTATACTTTTAATAATTTAAAAATTATTATAAATAGAAAGTATTTTTTTCTAAATAATTCAAACAAATCAAAAAAAATAAACAAATGTTAAAAATTAAACAATTTATAAATTCCACATTATTCTATAATAAACAAATCATTATTTTAATAAAAAATGTATTATTTATATAATTGTATTTCGTGTATAAGTAAAAATAAAAATGATATATTTGTAATTAGATTAATATATACTAACATTATAAAAGAGATCAAATTATATTATATTAAGATGATGAAAATATTGATCAAGTTGAAGTTTATAATCAAGATTTAGATATTGAATTTCATAAAAATGTAATTAAAAATATTAATGATATTGATGATTTTGACAATTTTGATAATTTAGAAATAATTTCAGATAATAAAAAAAATAATAATGATAATAATATTACTAGTTAAGACGATAAAGAAAAAGAAAAAAATAATAATATTGATGAAAATGAAGATGATAACAGTGAAGATAATAATAACAATAAAGATATAATGCAAATTAAATATTATTAGCAAAGAAATCATTGAAGGCTTTAAATTTCTATATTTAAAATCTTTACATAATTTTATAAAAGTAGCATATAATAATATTATAAAAGTATTTACAAAAACTTAGTTTATATAAGGTTAAAAAATTATTAGAAAAATTAATAGGATTTATTCCTAACTTTCTTTACAGAAACTTTTCAAATCGAAACAAAATCATGACCAGATTGAATATTTATCATAGATCTTCTTGTCACAATTTGATACGATTTAGTTATGATACATTTTTGATATAATATGAAAATAGTCTGTAAAAATCTGATGCATATTAAGATGATTGTCACCTGATTTAATCAGATCATGTAAAATTAAATATTAAAATCATAATGAAATTGTGAAACTATATTTTTGATTATATAAAACTATTTTCAAATTTGTAAATAATATTAAAATTTTCTTAATTAAATAATAAATAATTCTTGAATAAATAGTAAAATACTCTTAAAACTTTATTTAATAAATAGTAAAATATCCTATTCAAAATCATAAATAAATCATAAAATATTCCATTCTAAATAGTGAATTAATATTATTAAACAGCTTTAAAAAAATACAAATTTCATATGTATGAATTATTTTTAAAATTGTGTTCATTTCTGTCACATTCTTCATCTTTACAACAATGAATGAAATGCACAATAATAATTGTATTCATTAAATTAATAGAGAAAACCTTTGCTAATTATTTTTCAGATCCTTTATTAACTTATATACTAAGCAGCCTAGAATATCTTGATTTAACTTCTCAAACTAATCAATGATAATAAATGCAAATTGAAGGTCATTCTTTTGATGGTAGAATATGGCTCTTATAATTATGAATTTCCTCTATTCTTAATATTGATTGATACAACATCCCTAATATATAAACGGCATAGAATAGTATTACTGTTTTTTACTTTCAAAAGGAAATTTGCATACCCAAAGAATGATATTATACCTATATATGAAGTCGAAATAAAAACCCAAAAGTCGAAATGTTTTGATTTTAGAGGTCAAAGTCAAAATGAAAAGTCAAAATGGTCGAAATTACGTCATATTACATGATTTTTTATATATAGAAAAAACAAAAAAAAACAAAAGATGTACAATCTCGGTCAATATCACTCCGATTCAAATGAAACAACTACCATTCGATTCCCTGTGAATAGATGAATCCAATGGGCTAATATTCATTGATTTTGGATCAGCCTATCTTGAGATATATGCGATCGTATTTCGAAATCTGGACTTCTTTATTTAAAGTAGAATTTATTGATTCATAATTTCGGCCGATAATACAATTGCGATTATCTCAAGAGTGGATGATCCGAAATCAATGCATATTAGCCTATTGGATTCGTCTAGTTACGGGAAATTAAATAGTAGTTATTTCATATGAATCGGAGCAATATTGATTGAGATTGTACATCTTTTGTTTTTTGATTTTTCTATATATAAAAATCATATGATATGACATCATTTCAACCATTTTGACTTTTACTTTCAATAGTCGAAATGATTTTGACCATTTTGACCATTTTGGATATCTGAATGATCTATTTTGATTTCATGTATAATTGCACCATTAATTATTAAAAAATTGTCTCCTAAATCTTTGTAAGCTAGCTTTAAATTCTGTTTGGATATTCAACATTAATGATCTTTCAACATTTTTTTGAGGAATATGTTACCTTAGTAATATATTAGAAATATGTTTATCCGGAGAGTAAACTTTTAGATAAAATAAGAAAGTGATTAAATTAGTTTAGTGTTAAATAAACGTAAATTAATATTAATAAATATAATAAAGCGTTAAATGAATAAAATACTGTATTGATTATATTTACTTTCACTTGCATCATCTTTAATTTCTACTATGTTTTTATTTTCATATTAAATAAAAATTTGTTATAAAATAATTTGTTATATATAGGTATATTTTATATATGTATTTTCATATACTTTAGTTTGTTAACATATTACAAACCTTTAATTTAATAAATTTAATATAGTAAGATTTTTTTTCATATTTAAAAATCTGTTCTATATTAAAAATCTGTTATATTATAAAATTCGCTATATCAAAGTTTGCTATAGAAAGAGTTGACTGTAGACTTTAGGATAAAGCCTCCTCTATAAATATTTTTTTGATCAATAATCCTCCTTTATACCTATAGCTTTCTTAATCTATCAATCTGTAAGAGATAATCTAATCTGTTTACTTATCCTATTCCAAAAAATATTTAGTATACTATTAGAGCTAGGGTTCCTCAAAATCGAATCGAATCAAATATTTAAGCAATTTGAATTTGATTTGATTTTTTCAAATCGAATCGA